GACAAAGCAGCAGGATTTGTAAGTAAGCGAGAAATGCTAATTTGTTCTGCAAGCCCCCAGACACAAAAGTGGAGAACAAGAATTTTTGCCTGTATTTTAAGGTTGTAGGGGCCAGCCAGATAGCTCAGCCAACTAAAGTACCTGCTTAGGGAAACACAGGGACCAGGATTTGTGCCAGCCCCGCCCCTAAAGTATGTGGAGACAGTGACTGAGATTCGGCATAGTGGCACGAACCTGTAATCCCAGTGCTTGGGAGGTTAAAAACAGGAGGATCACTAAGAATCTGAGCTGCATAATGAGACCTTATAGACCCTGTACTAAATACATTTAAAAAAAAAAAAAGGTTGTAACACAAATCCTCTGGCTGGGTCAGCAAAATAGATCAGCGCATTAAAGTGCCAGCAAGCAGGCGCAAGGCCAAGGGTTTGATCCCCAGGCCTGCCGTGCTGGGCCGGGCCCTGGGGACACACTGAGACTGAGATTGAGATTGGAAGTGATGGTATGTGCCTGTAATCCCAGCACTTGGGAAGCTGTAAACAGGACAATCACTATGAGTCCAATCTAGTAGGAAGACTCTGAACACCCTACAGACCCTTCTCAATAATACAAAAGAAGAAAATTCTCTGGCATTCAAAAAAAAAAAAGAAAATACATACACACACACACACACACACACACACATAAAAACTTTAATGACTCTACTGTTTATAGAATTATTAAGAATCTGAAGGGAGATCCAGTCCTAGCCAAGGCCCAGTGAGTGTGTGGGAGAACTTCTGGCTACCCTGTGCCTGCAAGACCTACCAGTCCCAACCCAGGCACAGCGTGGGTGAGAACCTCTTCCACCCCCTTGGGACGCCCCCCACCACTCCTCAGCACCTCCCAGAGACCACCCATCGAGTAGGAATTTCTGCCCTTTCCAGGAACCCCCAGATCCAGTCCTAGCCCAGGCCCGGTGAGTGCAAGAGAGCTTCCAGCTACCAGGTGCCTGCGGGACCTACCGATCCCAGACCAGGCACAGTGCTAGTGAGACCCTCTTCCACACCCTTGGGACACCCCCAACCACTCTGTAGTACCCACGCCACCCCACCCACCGTGTAGGAATTTCTGTCACCTTCTGGGAACCCCCAGATGTACTCCCAGCCAAGGCCCAGTGAGTGTGAGGGAGAGCTGCCTCTCCCCCTTACTCTACCTTTTCCTCTCCAGACTCAGCTCAGGCCTGGCATACAGGCCTGAGGTGAAACCCTGCAGCTGCAATCCCTGCAGAGAGTGTAGGGGACAGAAACACCCAGCTAGTCTAGGAGCAGAACATCTTGCCAGAAGGCAACAACAAGTTTACACCCAAGGGCAGCAGCAAGAAGGAGCTAAGCACACAGCAGCCAGACCCAAGTCAGGCACAACTGGATAAATCCAAACAATGTACATCTGCACCTCAACTTCAGTAGGTGCTAAGGTTACAACTGCACCAAAGATCTACAAAAAAAGGTCAGAAAACAGTGCTACACAAAACGACAACGAGAAAGAGCAAAATGCAATCTCAGAACCTAAGCCCACCCATAACAAGTGCAGAGGACTCTAACACAGAACAAATTGGGAATCACACAGCTGAAATCAAGGAATCAACGGCTTCTGAAATAAAGAAACAGCTACAGAAAGGTATAGAGGAACTCATTTAGAAATGAAAAAAGATATCCCTGAATTAATAACATCTGCAGTAAAGAATCCAAAGCAGAAACATATGGAAGAAACCCAATACCCATCCAGAACAACTGCAGAGGACACTAGCTCAGCTCAAATGTATGAATTAATAGTGTCAATAGCAAATAAGCAACAACAGAAAGTCAAAGAGGAACTCAACAGTGGAATTATTTTCTGCTAGCTCAGCTCAACTGCACGAATTAATAGCATCGATAGTAAGTAAGCAACTGCAGAAAGTTATAGAGGAACTCAGAGCAGAACTTTCTGAAATAAGAAAAGAATTCTTGGAACTCATAGCATCTGAAGTAAACAATCAACTACAAAAACATAGGGAGGAAACCCAATATGAAAAAAAACACTGCAGTAAAAGAATTTATAACTGCTTCTAAAGAAGACATTGATAAAAAAAAAAATAGAGGAGATTAGAAAAATGATGAATTCCTTGAATGAGTAATACAAGAAAGAAATATATCATATGAAGCAGAGTCAAAGAGATAGAGAAATTTAAAATCTAAATCACAAGCTTGCAAAACCATTTAAGTGAAACAGAAGACAGACTTTCAGATATTGAAGATGCTGATGCAGTTAGGGAAAAGGTAAGAAAGGATCTCTTAAAAACAACTAGGATGCAGGAAAAAATAATCCATCACCTGCAAGATGATGAAAGATGAACAATGTGAGAATAATACGCAACAATGAGAAAGGAGTCAATACAAATGACATTAAAAAAAATATGGGCATAAGTAATAGCAGAAAACTTCCAAAATATGAAGAAACAATCTGACATTCAGTTAACCAAAGCATACAGAACACCAAGTAACCTCAACCCAATTCAAAACACACCAAGACATATAATAGTCAAGATCTTAGAAATTCGGCACAAGAATAATACACTGAAAACCACTAGAGAAAAGAAGCAGATCACATTCAAAGGAAAACCCATCAGACTTATGGCCGACTTTTCTTGACAAACAATGAAGGCAAGAAGAGCATGGAGCAGAGTACTTCAAGTCCTCTATGAAAGCAAATTCCAGCCCAGACTAGTATACCCTGAAAAACGTTCTTTCAAGTCTGATGCAGAAGTGAAACACTTTCCTGACAAAGAACAACTAAAGAATTTCAAGATGACAAAGCCAACTCTACACAAGCTACTGAAAAACTTTCTAGAGAGGGACTAAAATGATTAGAGCTCCAAGAATGAGATTGGAAGCAACCAACTAAATAGGGTAAGCAATTAAACACAGGAGAAAAAGGAGTAAACAACAACAGGTAAATAACAAGGCAATCGTAAGTCAATACATCTCAATTCTAACCATCAATGTAAATGGACTCAATTCACCAATTAAGAGAAATAGACTGGCACAGTGGATTAGGAAACAAAATCC